ATAAAAGTTGATGAAAATTTGAACATTATAAATAAAATCGAAGACTCAATTATGAAAAATCAATCCGACAATGAGTCTTATGAATCCCAAAACTTAGGAAGTGATATAAAATAGTACAGTGTACTAGAGTACAGTTGTAAAGCTGCAAAATATTACATTCATAAGCCTAGTACTAGTAAAGGTTTCTTTGACTCAATACATCAACCAGGTACAATCAAAAATAGTTTCTATGAAACTAACACTAGTTATGATGCCAAAAAAAGTTTCTTTGAAGTTACTCAAGTTGTCAAAAGTGTTACTTTTGATACAAACGCCCCTGAAAAAAGTAGTTATTTTGATCCCTTTATTCCTAGTTGCAGTATCAATTATTTCTATGATTATAATGTTCCAAGTACTAGCAAAAGTAGTTTTTATGAAAACTCTTTGCCTAGTACTAGTAAAAGTTTTTATAATCCTGAATCTGATGTAAGTAGTGTACTATTTTGTGAAGAAACAATACCAGGTAGTCCAACTGGTACGTTGGATGAGCTATATGATCAAGAGCAAAGAAAAAAAAATCTTCAAGCACTCCATGAAGAAAGAGAAGCTGCTTCAACTATGTATGCCATTAATCAATCTTTTTGTAGATCAATGATTACATTGATCGGTGCTACAGAAGCAGAAATGGAAGAATATACTAATATTCTTCAGAAGTAATTTTATTGTATTAGTAGAATGTAATATAGATTTAGGAGGACGTCATAATCTAATATTGTTGACTTCATATTACAATTGGATAACATGAAATATTTGTGGTCAGAGGTTACAATTTGATGTCGTTAGCTTTAATATTAGAGTAAAGCTAAGAACATTATTTGTATTCTCTCTTTTATTTTATTTTCTGAGCTAAGTTTAGTGCTTCGATTTCAACATATAGTACCTTATCTTTTAGCAAATTGGATCAAGATGGTACTTATAAGAGAGGTCATTTTTCGATTGTCACAATAATTATTTAATGCCACTATAAAAATTACCTACAAATAATAAAAATCCGCTAAAAATTGGATTTTAATTTCTAACACTTTGTTTATCAGCATAGCAACGAAAAAAAAATTATAATATTATAATATTAATTCAACTTACAGGCTATAATAAATTATAACAATATAAAAAATCTAGGATGACTAACCGTTTTTGTTCAGAATCGTTTTTCTTATACAATGATATTATATCATTGAATTCAAATTTAACACAATCAATTACAGTGTCCCACTTGTAACCTTCTGTACAGCAGAGTGACATCCACTAACCCACTTTTTTTTATGATACTCATTTAAAGTTAAATACACATAACTCCAATTGCTTCCAGATTTAAACAAATTTTACTGTTACACCACATAGCACACCAGTTAAAAACCACTGCTTTATAAACTTGTAACAGTTATAACTCATTTGAAAATTAAAGTATCATAAAAATGTCAACCCTAGCACACTGATAATATTACAATTTATTTTTAATAATAAGTCGATTCACTCTAATATTTAAGCTAACAACAAAACATTTGAACGACGTAAATTAAATATTTGTATGTTATATATTGAGACAGAGACAACACATGCAGAGGTACAATAATACAATATCCTCTTAATACCTTGACTGCGTACTGACGCCAATTGGCGTCATAAGTATCATTCAGCAACGTGTTTGAGGCCATATGGCGTCTAATATACATTTAAAATCAGTGGTTTAAATTTCCCTACTCGTGGCTGAATGTTATTTCATTATTATTTAGAGTGGATTAAACTCATGTTTTTTAATATGTATACATACCTCGTTATGAGCAGTTTATTTATTATTTTTTTTAATTTATTTTGCAATCTATGTGTTCTGTTAATTTATTCAGTCTCAAAATTGTACAGTTTTCACAAGAAAAACTCCAATCCAAGCGCAGAATTAGCAGTTATGAAAAACCATCGAAACGCAGTAAATTTTCTACTACTACTGTTCCTATACCTCCAGGTATTTAGGTTTCAAAATAAGTATTTTTTTTTATTTACCTTTGGTGACGTGTGCAGATGACTAATTATTTACTCCAGTATATTTTTAATATGCTGTTTATTATGTGAATTGTCCATACTGTATTGAGTGATGCTATCTTCAAGTAATTATACTTATATAATATATTATATACTTATCATAATAATAATAACAAAATAAAACTTTTTTGATTGTAAATCACATACAAATTTTAAAACAATTAGTACGTAAAATATAATAATAAACAATTAGTAATTTATAAAATTGTGTTGAAATATTATTAATATCTGAACAGAAAAAAATTAGCATGTCACTAAAGGTAAAATTTTAACAGTAGTCTGTTGATCGATCTATTTCTTGTAATTATAATATTATTTAAATGTTACAATAATATGGCTTTAGTAATGTACCAATATATAATATACAGTATATAAAGGGAATATTATTTGTCCTGTCAAATAATGTTACTTATGTTCAAATCAATATTAAAATTTTTTTTCATTTTATATGTACAACTTCCAGTCAAGTGCCACTAATGGGTGGCGGGTGGCTTCTTATTCCTATATTCATTATATTTTTTTTCTGTCACCACATACTACATGCGATTATTATGCTAAATATTACAGATTGTACATATCTTAATAAAAATAAAAAATAAATAAATATAATAAATATAATTTAAAAATGTTTGCGAAACACTTATAGTACATATAAGATTTTTTATTTTGTAATACTGAAAATAAAAAATTTTAAATCTGGTATAAATTTTTGTTGAAAAATTCCAAATTATTTAAGTCATGAAGGTTATTTTTTACAATTGTACAATCTCTTACAATCTTATTTTTTTGTTAAGCAAAGTTGATCCAGTCATAAAACAATGTTTAATTAAAAAAGTTTTCAAATAAATGGTCTTCAAAAAAATTTATCATTTTAAAAATCATAAATAATAAACCATTTGATTTCAATAAATGTTTTTGCAATTAAAGGTTTTCTAAAAACCAGGTTAACAAATTGGCTATTTTAAAATTTGCAATAAAAATTTAATCAGATTTAAAATTTTTATTTTTAGTAATAATAGCGCATGAGTCAATAAATTATACAGAAAAAATATTTTTTAAATATTGATAAGAACAAAAGTAATTTAATTTGTCAGGTCTTCTTGTTACATTATGTAATCATAATCGGTATTAAAAGAAAAAATTTGTATAGGAAGTTGTGTTGAAAAACCCGTTGAAAAATATGTGTTTAAAGAAATTCTACCGCCTATAATAGATGGAAAGCCAATGTTTGTTTTAAGTAAGTAAAGTTACATTTATTCCCCTTTTTGTACAATTTTTGATAATATGTTTGATTGATAGTATTATCATTGATTAAATTAACAGTT